TCATGTGTCCAGTGTTGGAATGGAATTGTCGCTACAGTATCACAAGTGGATATTTTGACTTTGTCGTTCCCTCAGTATTACAGCCTGACTTGTAATCAATAATGAATATTTCTTGATATTTAATGTATAGGACATTTATTTATACTCAATAAATATTTTTCAAAAGGATATAATTTCAATATCACTTCAGCCTAAGGGCTCCACTACAGAAACCAAATTTAATCAATAGCATTGTGGTACAGAGATAAGAGCAATGGCCGTGGGTATACTATCTGCTACCTACTAAGTCTACTTGACTTTTGTAAATTTCTATTTCCTTATTAGTAAAATTGTGCTTAATTGAGATAATGGTCATAACTACTCTGTTAACTGCAGTGTGCTATATTCTCATATGAGGGATTATTAATAATTTTTTAAAAAGTGGGGGCTTCATTCTTTTCTTACAGGGTGCCTGGAGTGCTATGGCAAGTCCAAATCCTGCCTGATTTTAGAGTCTTTAACAATCCTTCCTTACTCAACCTCTCACCAACAGCATTTCCCCTCTAGTATGACTGGGTACACAGTGCTATGTGTACCAATCTTTTACATGTCTGTAGATCAAACTAATAAACATTTATTGAACACTAGTTTTATAGAAATCTCTATGCCAGCTCAAGTAATACTAAAACCAGTCAGTACCTCTCTTCAAAAGTTCAGTTAGTTATAGGTAGGGACAAAATATTTATTTATCTCCTACTCCCACTGATCTCACACTCTTAAGAAGTCTCCACTGGGAGCAAACATTACAATATTCATTATTACTTTCTTGAGATCTTTCTTGGCTTCTCTGAGTTCTCCTCTGGACACTTATTCTCTTCAATGGACTTCTCTTTCTCAGCCCCTTAAATATTTCTTCCATTATAATTCTAATCTATACTTGTTAAGAATGTCGGGGTGCCAAAGAAATCAGACATGTACCCAAAAATTAGTTAGCAAGGTAAATTTTACTTCTGCAGAAGGTGTGCTACCAAAATTTCTGACAAGCAAGCACACTAGGCAAGAAGTCTGCCTAGGTTATTATCCCTAATGCAGCACTGCCTCTTGATCTGATAGGAGGTTGGGATTATAATCTACATGATTGACTAATTTTTAATTGGGGAGGGGAAGGGGAAAGGCTATAGTTATGATTGGATCACCTACTATACTATAGGCATTGTAATCTGAAGACAAAGGACAAAGGGAAATTTGATGGCAGGGCTCAAAATGGCTACATTTCAATCACGTTTTAGATTACTGCCAACACATTTTTGTTACATATTAGGAAACTCAGACTTTAGGTTTAATTTTGACAGAAAAGAATATCAATCTTAAATACTCTTTGAGAATTCTCAACTAGATTTCAACTATAACTGTCACTAACTAACCTTGATTTCTTATTTTCAATTCTGGGCTTGTTCATTTAAATCCCCCACACTACCTAAAATCTAACAGCCAAATTAAGCTCATTGTCTTAGGGATCACTCTTAGAAAACATTCCTCCTTTATTCCTTATCATGCTTATGTTAGCCAAGTCCCATTGTCTTAATCTGTTTTCTGCTATAACAAGATACCACAGACTGGATAAAATTATAAACAATAGAAGTTTGTTTGACTCACAGTTCCAGAGGCTAGGAATTCCAAGATCCAGGGAGTGGATCTGGTGAGGGCCCTCTTGCTGCATCATAACATGGAGGAAAGCATTACATGGCAAGAGCATGAGAGAGAGAGTAAACAGAAGGGCAAACTACCAAACCACTCCCATCATAACAGACTTAATTCATTCATGAAGGCAAAGCTCTGGTGGCTTAATAAACCTTTAAAGGTCCCACACTTAGTACTGTTAAAATGACAAAACTAGATTTCTACCTGAATTTCAAGGGAAGACATTCAAATCATATATTGGTTGATATTTGATTCTCCAGCTATACTACATTAGTCTTAAAGGGAGCAATCATTCTACCTAAAAATCTTCATTTTATTGGCTTTTGGTACCTGCCACCCTTTGGTACTAGGGATTGAACCCAGAGGGTCTCTTCAACTGAGCCCCACTCCCAGCCCTTTTTTAAAAAAATTATTTTAAGAGCAGGTCTTGCTAAGCTGCTGAGGCTATCCTACTACTTGCAATCCTCCTGCTTCAGCCTCCTCAGATGCTGGAATTGCAAGTAGGCACCACTGCACCTGGCTGTTAACTGTTAATCATTAGAGAGCAGAATTGAGTGCAGATAGTCTCGAGTTTTAATTTGTCAGCCCTGAGTTTAGTAGAAGTGGGGCAGTAAACTGGAATGATATGTGAAAGTGTGGCACTTCTACTTCTATCACCCATATTTTTTAGTTTTCCTCTCCAGTCCTCATTAGTTTTTTTCTTCAAGACAGGGTTTCATCGAGTTGCCTAGGTTGGCCTCTACCTTGGTCCTGCCTCAGCCTCCTGTGTTGTTGGGATTATAGGCATGTACTACTATGCCTGCTGATATAATAAATCCAGATACAGTATGGATACTTGGATTTTTAAAAGCTCCTCAGGTAGGTAGGCCTTAAAGTAGCCAAAGTTGGGGGGGGGGAGTTAAAGTAGCACCCAATGCCCTAGGGTGCCTGACCAGTCTGAATCTATTTTTCATGGACAGTCTGAACTATTAACATCCATTTCTGCCGCAGTCTGGCTGGGCACAAGATCACGAGCCACTCACAGCTTTGTAGATTCAAACAGCAATTCTTTATTCCCGAACTCACACCGGCCCTCTACAAACACGTTCTGGGGAAATTCACGTTCTGCCCRCAAAATTCACGTACTCCACCAGGCTTTGAATCCCAAATACTTTCTGAATTCCACGAGAACTCAACGGGAACTCAGGCAGCAGGATACGCCCTATTCCCAGCAGGAATAACTTTAAACCTGGAACAGCCCTAAACCCAAGGAGCAGGATACTCCCTAAAACCTGATCTGCCCTAATCCAGTAGGATCCTCCTTAAACCCAGATCCACCCTGGTCCTTGAGCAGGGTCACCTTTCTCAAACATACATGCAATGTCACTTCAAATGTCCATTTCCACGAGTCCTTCCTCTAAGCAACATGGGATACGCTGGCAAGGAAATTTCGATGCCTCATTCCTACTTGGCAATGGCTCTCAGCACATTTCTGCAGCTTAGAGATAGGCAATGATTGCCCTAAGGCAGAGGTGTTTTATCTGTGGAATTAGGTGGGAAGTATCCCCTCCTCTATTTTTTGAAAGAATTTGTGAAGGATTGATGTTCACTCTTTGAACAAATGATAGAATTCACCAATGCTTAAGCCATCTGGGCTTGGGCTTATTCTTTTGGGGGAATTTTTTGGTTTCTAATTCTCTCTCTACTTATTCTTGGTCTATGCAGGTTTTCTATTTGTTCTTGAATCAGTTTTAGTAATTGTTCACTTCATCAAAGTAATTTGTTGGCATAAGGTTTTTGTGGTATTTCCTTTTGATTCTTTAAGATTGGCAGTAATGCCCCCTTGTCCATCGCTATTTTTAGAAATTCAAATCTTTTTCCCCCCTTAGGTTAGCTAAAAGTTTTTCCATTTTGTCGTTTTTGTTCAGTGAACTGCATTGTTAATTTTTCTATGTTTTCCACTAATTTCTAGTTTAATATTTATTACTGTGCTCACTTTCATTTAGTTTGCTTTCTTTTTACAGTTTCTTAAGGTGGAAAGTTAGGGAACTGATTTGAGAAACCGTGGCTATGCTTTTAATTTCTGGAAATGACAGGCAAAACAAAACTAAAATCTTATTTTAAAATTTTGCATTCTTCCACCATYAGTGAAGGCTTTTCATAATTATTGCCCACTTGTTTTCCCATTAATTACTTTTAGGACACCTTATCCAAGCTGATTGGTAAAATGCAACCACAGAACATCTTCACACATTCATTTAAAAATTTATCCTTTAAAAGTTATTAGTTAACTTTCTCCCTTGTTTGGTGTCCATCTCTATTTGTCGCTTGCCCGTTCAAGTTCTTTACTATTTTGAATATACGATTTGACTTTTTCTAACAGATTTGTAGGAATTCTTTATCAGTCCTTTACCGTTTGTTTTTCATATTTTGCCTCTGGATTACTATTTGAGTACGTAAGTGATTTTGTTTCTCAGTATTGGGGATCTAACCCGGGGTCTAAGCAAGCATTCTTAACACYGAGCTACTACATACCCAGCCCTTCAAAAAAAAAAAAAAAAAATGACACGGTCTCCCTAAATTGTCCGGGATAGCCTCGAATTTCCCTTCCGGTCTTTAACTCTGGAGCAGCTGGAATTACAGGAGGGCGCCACAGGGCCTGATTAGGTGTTTTTTATTGTTGTTAACTCCAAGCTTAAACTATTCTGGAATGGTGAGGTCTGAGCTGACTCCTGAAGACTCCTGGGTGGCGGGGCAAAAGGGCGTAGTAGCTGGAAAACACAAAAGCATYGCAAAAAGAAAAACAAGATTACGCAAGTCCCTGCCCTTCCTCCTACAATCTTTTGCCACCTCTCCTTGCCACCAGTTGCACGCCTCCTTCCGCCTGGCGCGTCTATCTGACGTCACGAGCTTGAGTCGTTCAATTCWGGCCGCGCAATCTCCGTGGCAGTCTACCTGGCGCGCTGAGGCGAATCGTCGTGCGGCGCCGGAAGTCAGAGGCACGTGACCGGGTGACAGCGCTCTCTTGGCTGCGGGCTCGCTTTAGGTGCTGCGGCACGGGATGGCGGAGGCGCCTCCTGTCTCAGGTACTATCCTGTCCCGCGCGGGACTGGGCCCTTCTCAGGGAAGGGCAGTTTGGTCAATGACTAAGTGCTAGGGCTCCGGCAATTTATATCGCGAGAGTGGCTCATGCTAGACTTGGGAATAGTGGCTCGGAAGGGCCAAGCCACGCTCGTCGCGCAAACGGAGACCTCCAGCATCTTCAACTGGGTGGTGAAGCCCGGCATCTGGGTTTCCGAGGAGATCGGGCTTGTTCTGGCGCCCAGTGAATCGATGCGGGTGTCCCGCTGTCCCACGGGGCTTATATCGGCCATCTGGGGTACATCTGGCTCACCTTTGAACGGCGGGCGTCGGCCAAGTTGCCGCCAGTGTCTGGCGGGCTCTCGGTTCCATCGGGTGTGCGCGCTGTGCTTGGGGTGTATGCATACCTCTTGGAGTGGCGGCGCGCGCGCCAGCCGAACACCAGTGGTGATCAAGTCTCAGTTTCCTCATCTGTCAGATTAAATAAGTTATAAACTGTAAAAGCTCTCGCACTGAATTGTGTCTGTTAGCTCACTTCCCTTCATGGAGTTGCCTCTGTAGACCGCCTTATTTGACTGTTAGTATAACGTCCATTTTCATTTCCTTCAGTGTGTACGGTAGATTCGTGGCTTCCAAACTTTGTGGAAGGGACCAAAAATAATTTTGTATCACAAGCTTATTTCACACTTACAGAACGTGAAAGTGAACTAAATATTTCCAGGAGCAATGTTTTCCTTTACTATCAGTGATATACTCTCTTTTCTTCCGTGTGTGTGTGTGTGTGTGTGTGTGTGTGTGTGTGTTTAAACCCCAGGCCTCACGCATGATAGGCAAGCACTCTACCACTCAGCTACATGCCCAACCCTTTTTTAAAATCTTAGGACAGGGTCTTGCTAAGTTACCCAGACCAGAGTCAAATTTTCTATCCTCTTGCCTCAGCCTCCCCAAGTAGCTACAGTTACACWGTAGCATCTGTCTTGTGTATCACTTTTAAAAGTAGTTGTCACTACCCACTATTTTGATTTAATAGGGTTTTTTTGTTTTGATTTGTTGTTGTTTTGGTAGGTGTATTCCGTTGTGCCTGGCTGCTACATGACTTGGTTTCTGATTTCACTGTTTCTGAAAAAACAAGGCAACAATTTCCAGCATTTGTTAGTTTGGATCTTAGCTCTGCCACAGAACTAAGATTTAAGATCTTATTGGGGCACCAATAAGATTATGTATTTGTGTACTAGATAGCAAATAAAATATTTATTACTGTGACCTCAATTTTAAAAATTGGAAAAAAAAAACAGTACGTTGGTGTAAATAGTCCCTACTTGGGTATTAATTAATCTTTGCTGAGAGCCATTGCCAAGTAGGAATGAGGCATCGAAATTTCCTTGCCAGCGTACCCCATGTTGCTTAGAGGAAGGACTYRTGGAAATGGACATTTGAAGTGACATTGCATGTATGTTTGAGAAAGGTGACCCTGCTCAAGGACCAGGGTGGATCTGGGTTTAAGGAGGATCCTACTGGATTAGGGCAGATCAGGTTTTAGGGAGTATCCTGCTCCTTGGGTTTAGGGCTGTTCCAGGTTTAAAGTTATTCCTGCTGGGAATAGGGCGTATCCTGCTGCCTGAGTTCCCGTTGAGTTCTCGTGGAATTCAGAAAGTATTTGGGATTCAAAGCCTGGTGGAGTACGTGAATTTTGCGGGCAGAACGTGTTTGTAGAGGGCCGGTGTGAGTTCGGGAATAAAGAATTGCTGTTTGAATCTACAAAGCTGTGAGTGGCTCGTGATCTTGTGCCCAGCCAGACTTTGGCATTGTAGATTCAAATCTTATTTTGTGTAAATGGTACTGAAGATTGAACCCAGGGGTGCTCTATGACTGAGCTACATCTCCAGCCCTTTTTGTTGTTTATGTTGAGACAGGATCTTGCTAAAGTGCCAAGGATGGCCTCAAACTTGTGATCCTCCTGCCTCAGCCCCCCAAATAACTGGGATTACAGTCATGCACACCATGCCCAACAGGGATATGAAAAAGCTTTTTAGGTTGATATTTTTGCTATTTTCCCCAACTAGTCCTTCACTAGACCCTCTAAACTGGATCTATTGGTCTTCCCATCCTCAGGCTCACTTATTTCTATATCAGTGTTTAAAGTGGAAAGGGTAAATAAAGGCTAGTTGTAAGACATAGTTGTTGGCCTCTGGTGTGGGCTCCAAGTTACCACCTCCACCTGTAAATGCATTTACTGAGTCCCATAGTTCAAAGACCTCTCTACTTTTGTGATTCTTTGTTTTTGTTTTAGTTCCCTATTCCATTTTCTTATTTTAGCATCATCTCTATTTTACAACCTCCCTCTCCATTTAACRTCCTTAAATGGTAGCCTAATTCAGGAGGAATCTTTTTTTCATGGGTAGACTTTCCATGTCAGCTTTGTCCCTGGACTTTATAGTCTGCCAGTTGGCTTTGCCCTTATTCTGCTCTGATCACCTGTTGAACACCTACCATGATGCTGTGTTATCTTGGATCTTGATACCACTTACTTCTGTAAGAGCCATGTCTGGATGAGGAGACATCCCAGTTATTGAGTAACTTTAACTTACTTAAATAGTGAAAGGAGTCTCTCTGATGTTTGCTATGGTCCAGTTTCCTGACTCATGTATCTCTTTTCCCTTCCTCGTGTCTCTTAAGTGTCTTTCTGAGGGCTTTGCCTTATACTTAATGTCTAATGGAATATAAACTGTATGAATAGGTGCAGCCCTGTCTGCATTGATTCATTCCAGCTCAAAAGGCTATTCTGGACAACTTCACTGACCTTATTTCTGCCCCTCTTTTCAGCCTTCCTTTTTTTTTTTTAATATTTATTTCTTAGGTGTAGATGGACTCAACACAATGCCTTTATTTTTATGTGGTCTGAGGATAGAACTCTGGTCCCGCTGGTGCTAGGCAAGCACTCTACTGCTGAGCCACAATCCCAGCCCCTCAGCCTTCCTTTTTTTAAGCAGGAAAACTGACCTCTTGGTCCAGTTTACCACTCCTTATCTTTAATTTGTATCTTATATCTCTAGAAAATCTCTACCACTTCTGAATTTATCTAATCCTCATGCCATTTTGTGCAGCCTTACACTCCACCCCTAGAATTCTGCCTATGTGGAAGTGTTCAGTAGAAATCTGGGATTAAGTGAGAGGTTACTTTATGACTTTTATGAACTCATTCAATTCTTCACTATGTTTATCTGGTCTCTGGTGCCACACATCCTGAGCTAGAATCCTGAGTCTGCATTGGAATACCTCTGTGTCTTTAGGCAAGTTACTCTCTCTGTGCCTTAGTTTTCTCATCTAGAATGTATAAAGATTAACTGAGTTAACACATGTAAAGGACTTAGAATAGTGCCCAGCACATATTAAGTACCTAACAAATGTTAGGCCGTATTATTAAACCTGCACTGTATCCATCTGCACTTGACTGTATATGTTTCAGGTAGTCCATAGTCTGTATTCCTAACAGCAAGAATAAAGACCGTTGTATCTACTTTATACATGTCATTAACTTGCTTTACTCTTTTTTTCCACATGATATTTATTGTTACATCCATGCATACAATGTAACGATATAATTTGACCAACATTACTCCCTAGTACTTCCCTCCTCCCTTCCCTCTTCCCACCCTTGCTTTACTCTTTACAGGAACTCTATTTGTTGTAGGGATTGTTTCCATCTGCATTACATAGAAGAAAACTTACATTAAAGCACAGTAGGTGATAGGGACTTAAATACATGTCTTTCAGACTCCGTTGACTCAGAGCATATTTTATATGTTTCCAACTGGTTTTGTGTTGTTAGGCTAATCATTTCTTCTTTAGGGCTTTAGGGACTGAGTTGACTATCCTAAAATCATTCTGGAGCCAGGTATGATGGCACATACCTGTAATCCCAGCTCCTCAGGAGCCTGAAGCAGGGGGTTCACAAGTTTAAGGCCAGCCTCTGCATCTCTGCCCCACCCTGTCTCAAAGTAAAAATTTTAAAGGGGCTTGGGATGTAACTTAGTGGTAAAGCATGCCTGGATCAGTCCCCAGTACCAAAAAGAAAGAGGAAAAAAAATTATTTTAGAAGAGCAAAGTGAGTGAGTTTAAGGGACATATGATCAACTTTTTTTTTTTTTTTTTATTTTGGTGTGTGTGTGTGTGTGTGTGTGTGTGTGTGTGTGTGATGCTGGGGATTGAATCCAGGGCCTTGTGCATGTAAGGCAGGCACTCTACCAACTGAGCTATATCCCCAGCCTCTGTATAATCAATTTTTAAAAAAATATTTATTTTTTAGTTGGACACAATATTTTATTTATTTATTTTTATGTGGTGCTGAGGATCGAACTCAGAGCCTCGCACATGCTAGGCAAGCGCTCTACCACTGAGCCACAACCCCAGCCCTGTATGATCTATTTTGAGACTGGAACTCTAGAGCATATTATGGATGTTGTTATGGAAAATCAAAAATATATTCCTGGGAAAAGAGATGGAAAGTAATGCTTACTATGCTAATATTTTCTGTGTGAAATCTTATTTAAAATATTTTTAAAATTATCTCAAATAATCCTTTTAAAAAACCYCTTATAGATGTGGAAACTGAGGCTAGTGGTGTTCAAGTGATATCCCTAACCTCATAACATAAATTGGAGAGTGTTTAAACCTGTTTCAGCTGACTTCAAAGTTTGTTTACTTAGTATTGCACAATGCTACTTTAGAGTTTGGAAAGACTCTGGTGACTGATGGCTCATTCCTGTACTGTTAACTGACCTTTAATATTTTGATAAAATAAATGCATGTGTACATAATGCCTGATGGCCCAGATGAGCATTTTTACTCAGCAGCTCTTAGCTGTTATGGCTCTATAACCAGTGGATAAGGGATAATGTATCCTCTACAAGAACCTTGGTGGCTGGGGCTATAGCTCAGTTGGTAGAGTACTTGCCTTTCATGTACAAGGTCCTACATTTGATCCCCAGCACCCCCCCAAAAAAAACGCTTTGAACTCATCACATCAGCTTCACAGGTCTAAGAGTTTGTTTTTTTGTTTTTTGTTTTTTTTAAAGAAAGAGAGAGAATTTTTTTAATATTTATTTATTTTGTTTTAGTTCTCGGCAGACACAACATCTTTGTTGGTATGTGGTTGTGAGGATCAAACCTGGGCCGCACGCATGCCAGACGAGCGCACTACCGCTTGAGCCACATCCCCAGCCCGTTTTTTTGTTTTTCTTTTTAATATTTTTTATTAGTTGTTGATGGATCTTTAATTAATCTATTTATTTATTTATATGCAGCGCTGAGGATCGAACCCAGTGCCTCACACATGCTACGCAAGCACTCTACCACTGAGCCACAACCCTAGCCCTAAGGGTTTATTTTGTACAATGTCCTTAGGAAAATGATTTTTAGATATGGTTTAGAGTCTTATAGGATAACACATTCATTTCCTTACTGACGTGTCTATTTCTTATGTCCTAGGTACTTTTAAATTGAATACAGAAGCCKCTGAATTCATCCCTCAGGAGAGAAAAAATTCTGGTGTAAATTGTGGGACTCAAAGAAGATCAGACTCCAATAGGATTGGCAGAAGAAATTATAGTTCCTCACCTCCCTGTCACATTTCTAGGCAGATTCCTTATGATGACATCACTGTTGTTCATCAGCACAGTTATCCTTCAGGAAGTAAACCTAAGAGTCAACAGACTTTTTTCCAGTCTTCTACTTCTAATAAGTCACTCAAGAACCATAACCTTCAGAGTCAGCCTTGGCAAAAATTAAAGCATGAAAAACATCACATCAGAGTCAAGAAAATACAAGGGCTCAATGACCAGGGCTCAGATACAATTAGCTTAGAAAGTGTGGCCAGGCCAGAGAGTGGGACAAACCTCAGTGAGTATAGCCCTTCTGAGAGTGAGAAAGAAATTGTTGGTGCAGATCCCAGGGGAGCAAAACCGAAAAAGTCAGCTCARTTTATATACAGTTATGGTAGAGGATCAAAAGTCAAGGGGAAACTAAAGTGTGAATGGGGTAACAAAATGACTCCAAAACCTGAGGATGCTGGACTTGAAAATACCAAATCTGTGGGGGTTTGCCACCCTGACTCTTCAGATGCATCCTGTAAAAAAGGAGCACTGGATGGGTATGGAGCCAGACGAAATGAGCAAAGAAGATACCCACAGAAAAGGCCTCCGTGGGAAGTGGAAGGGGCCAGGCCACGACCAGGCCGGAATCCACCAAAACAAGAGAGCCAACGACATACAAATGCAGGGCCCAGAATCAACCTGGCCCCCATTCCAAAGGACAATCTCAATGAAAGACCAACAAAATCAGCCTGTGACAGTGGGAATTTGGCAGTTGTCAACAAGTCTTCCAGAAGGGTTGACCAAGAGAAAAGTGCTATAAGGAGACAGGATCCTCAAGTGATATCTTCTTTCTCCCGAGGCAAACAGAACCATGTGTTAAAGAATGTGGAAACCCATACAGGTAAACCCACCTAGATGTGTGGAAATATATTTTTAATATTTTTTTTAATTTTTTTTTTTGAGAGAGAGAGAATTTTTTTTTTAATATTTATTTTTCAGTTTTCGGCAGACACAACATCTTTGTTTGTATGTGGTGTTGAGGATCGAACCCAGGCCGCACGCACGCCAGGCAAGCACACTACCGCTTGAGCCACATCCCCAGCCCTATTTTTAATATTTTTTTAACAAGTAATATATTCAYGTAATTTAGAAAACAAAGTACAAAAAGGTACACAGTGAAAAGTATCTTAATTCATCATGTGCCTGGGTTCTGTTGCTCTTCTTCCCCACTGGTAAGCACTTAACATGGTTTTATGTATATTACAAACAAATATAAATAAGGACTTTTTCATATAAGGAGCTTTGTAAGGGTTCTTAAAACTGCAGATATAGATGGTGAAGTTGTCTAGCTATAAGATTTTTTTTTTTCCTGCAGTACTAGGAATTGAACCCAGGGCCTGGTGCATGCTAGGCAAGCACTGTACCTTTGAACTACATACCCAGCCCTGAAGACTTTTTTGAGTTGTGAAAGCAGAAGTAGGGGATAATAACATCCACACTCTCTTTGCAGGTTCCAGCCTGTGTCACCTAATCTGCTTCATCTTGTCTGCTCAGTTGTGATGGTTCCTATCTCACCATCTCTTAATTTCTCTCTTTCATTTCATCTCTTGCACCACCATCAGAGAGCATTTTTTCAGCAGCATATTGAACTGCCTTTTCCCTGCTCTTTTCCATTTATTAGTTCTCATTGCATACAGATTCTGGCTACTGCCTTACTCAGGCCTGTCTTCTACTACCTCAGTGTCCACCATTTCAATTTCCTGGATTCAGTACTGTTGTATCTTTCCATGCTGTTGCATGAAGCTCCTTCTGTCTAGAATTTCTACTACTCAGCTTACTGGTGATGTATTTATTTATTTGTACTGAGGATTAAAGCCATGGGTACTTAACCGCTGAGTCACTCCCCCAGTCCTTTTTTAAATTTTAAGACAAATTGCTGAGGCTGGCCTCAAACTTGTGATCCTCCTATGCTACTATACCCAACCTAACTGGTAAACTTTTTTTTTTTTTTGTACCGGGGATTGAACTCAAGGGCACTCAACCACTGACCTCCCTGTTGCTGAGGTTGGCTTTGAACTCCCAATCCTCCTGTCTCTGCCTCCTTAGCTGCTGGAATTACAAGCGTGTGCCACCACACCCAATGTGAATTCTTATTGATGTTTCCAAAGCTTAATTTAGTTATATGTTCAGGGAACATTTTCTCATCCCTATAGATAGCATTAATTTTTTCCAGACCTTATATGTGTATCTTTCATATATATGTGTGTGGGGGTGTGTGTATATATATATATATGTGTGTGTGTGTGTGTGTGTGTGTGTGTATGTGTGTATGTATGTGTATATATGTATATATGTAAGTATGTATGTATGTATATATGCTTCTATTTCAGAATTTACCACTGGAAATCATAATTTGTTTATGTGTCAGTGCCTTTACTAGTCTGTAAACCCATTAAAAACAAATATTGGCCAGGCACATTGGTGCACACCTGTAATCCCAGTGACTCAGGCTGCAGCAGGAGAATCACAAGTTTGAGACCAGCCTCTGTGACTTAGTGAGACTCTCTCAAAATAAAAAGGGATTGGGACCTAGTAGTAAAGTGCCCCAGGTTCAATCCTCAGTATTGCCAAAAGAGAAAAACAGTTACTATGTCTTTTTTTTTTTCAGCTTTTTGGAATTCTGTCTTAACAGCTCATGGAACATATGTAGTTCATCCTTAAATTGAACTGAAAACTTTTTTTTCTATGAATGCTGTCTGTATTTTGGTTCAAGTTCTATCCTTTATAACAGAACAGCAATCAGTATTTCTCTTCATGGTTTCCCTCCCCCTTGTTTCACAGTTGGAGACCTTTCCTTTTTCCCTGAGTGTACATCTCATCAAGGCTAAATAGTTTTATCCCATTATTATTGTTTACTTTTACCATCTTGGTCTTTTTTCMGTTTTAATGTGAGATATAGCCTAACCCATGAAACTGCCACCTTCCTGGAGTCTGTTTTTATACTAGCCTTTATTTCTTCTAGTTGCTTGCTTCACCAGGTAGTTCTTGGGACTCAACTTTTATGTGAAGCGAAGCAGTGTTATGCCAGAGTTGTTTTTTATTGTTGTTTGTTTGTTTGTTTATGATAGTGTAGATTGAACCCAGAGCCTCACACATGCTAGGCCAGTGCTCTAAAAGCCCTTTTTTCATTTTATTTGAGAAAGGATATTGCTAAGTTCCCGGGGCTGGCCTGGACTTGCGATCCTTTTGCCTTAGTCTCCTGAGTAGCTGGAATTATAGGAGTRTGCTACTGGGATCAGGGCAATGCTGGGGATTACACCTGAGCACCTTGCACAGTCTAGGCAAGTGCTCTACCACTGAACTGCACTCCTAGTCTCTCAGGGTTGTTTTGAATCCTTAAGGCTGGTTAATGGGTCACTTATTGCTTTATAATGAATTATCTTAAACATAGTGGGTTAATATAACACAAATTTAATATGTGACAGTTGCTGTGAAGCAGGAGACTGGGTATGGGTTAGCTGGATTCTCTATTCAGGGCGTCCCAGGCTGAAATTTGGCCAGARATGTGACCTTTGAGGATCAGGACCCTCTTTCATTCTCACTGCTGGTGGTTGGATTCAGTTTCTTAAGGGTCCAAACTGAAGTCCTTTTTTTTTTGGCTGGGATCCACTTTCAGCTCCTAGAAGCCAGTCCTAATTTTCTATTATGTGGCCTTATTTATAACATTGTAGTTAGCTTCCTTGAGGCATACAGAAAAATATATTCTATAAGTTTCAAATCATTCTGACTTCTGTCTCCTTTGTTGTTGTTAATTTGTTTTGTTTTTGGTAGTACTGGGGATTGAACCCAGGGCCTCATGCATTCTAGGCAAGTGTTATACCACTGAGCTACATCCTTTTAATTTTAAGACAAGGTCTTGCCAAATTGCCCAGGCTACTTTGAACTTAAATACTCCTGTCTTGCTCAGCCTCTATAGAGTAGCTGGGATTATGAACAAGCACCACTGCACCCAGGTGTCCACTTTTTTATTATTTTTTGGTACCAGGAATTAAACCCAGAGGTGCTTAGCCACTCAGCCACATCCTGGTCCTTTTTTATTTTTTATTTTAAGACAGGGTCTTGCTGAGTTGTTGAGGCTGGCTTTGAACTTGTGATCCTCCTGCTTCAGCCTCCCAAGACGCTGGGATCATGGGCATGTGCTACCACATCCAGTACTCTCCACTCGTTTAAAAGGATTCACCTGMCTAGGTCAGGCATAACCCTTCTCAAAGGGAGGTACCTTTTCAAGGTGTACACATCAAGGAGGTGGAAGTCTGGGAGCCCATCTTAGACTTCTGCTCAGTAAATCTCTCAAGGCCTTACAGTCTCACAGTATTTGTTACTTCATTCATATTATTGTGTAAATACAGTCATCTCTTGGTATCCACAGATGATTGGTTCCAGGACCCCTTCCAGATACTGAAGTCCCTTATATAAAATGATGTCGCATTTTCATATGGCCTAAGCATGTTCTCCCATATATTTTAAATTATTTTTAGATTATTTATAGTCCCAAACAAAATGTAAATGCTGTGTACATAGTTGTTATACTGTATTTATGGAATAATAACTAGTAAAGAAAGCTGTACGTGTTCAGTACAGAACAGGTATTTTTAAAGAATTTAACCTTTTATTTATTTAATTTATTTGTTTTTATGTGATGCTGAGGATCTAACCCACTGTCTCATCTGTGCTAGGCAAGCACTCTATCACTGAGCTACAACCCCAGCCCATTCCAGAGCAGTTTTTAAGGGAAAAGAAAAAAAAAATCAGTCTGTGGTTGTTTGAATCAGAAGATGTGCAACCCACGAATATGGAGGCCTGAGTTCCTATATACCATTCACTGTGCTAGATGCATTAAATAATGAGAATGTTTACATTGTAGTAGGGAAGACAGGCAGAATATTTAATATATCAGGTGGTGATAAAGTTTAAAAAGAAATACAAAGCAGGTTGAAGACAAAAGTGGCCAGGATGCTATTTTTTTTTAATATTTATTTTTTAATTGTAGTTGGACACAACACCTTTATTTCACTTATTATTTTTATGTGGTGCTGAGGATCGAACCCAGGCTCTTGCATGTGTGAGGTGAGTGCTCTACCGCTGAGCCACAACCCCAGCCCAGGATGCTATTTTAGATAGATTGATATGCTTTTTTTTTGGTGATGCTGGTGGTTGAACCAGGAACATCTTAGGCAAGTGCTTTACCACTATATCTCCAGCCCATGAGGAAACATTTGTACAGAGACCAAAACAAAGTACAGAATCCTCTCTGTGGCCCTTTGAGGAGGAACAAATTTAGATGGAGGGAGGGGCATTATGGTCAATAAATACGGGTAGGAGAAACAGAGAATTAATAGGGGCTGGATCATGTGAGGCCCTTAGTTTTGGTTCTGAGTAAGTAGATGAGAATCTGCTAGGAGGTTTTGGGAGGATGGTATGCTCTTTCTAAAATAATGATCACTGGGCTGGGGTTGTGGTTCAGTGGTGGAACACTTGCCTAGCATAAGCGTGGCCCTGGGTTTGATCCTCAGCACCACATAAAAATAAATAAATAAAATAAAGGCATTGTGTTCAATTACAGCTAAAAAATAAATATTAAAAGATAAGATAAGGGGCTGAGGATGTGGCTCAAGCGGTATCGCGCTCGCCTGGCATGCATGCGGCCGGCGTTCGATCCTCAGCACCACATACAAACAAAGATGTTGTGTCCACCGAAAACTAAAAAATAAATAAAAAATAAAATAAAATAAAATAATGATCACTTAGTCTGCTATGTGGAGAAAAGACTGAGAAAACAACAGGGCAGATTAGTATAATATGATAGTAATTCTGATGGGAGAAGACAGAAACTTGGACCGTGAATACTAGTGGTAGAAAGGGTGATCTATAAGACTTTGTGGATGTATTTGGAAGGAGGAGCTGATATCTTACTCGTATAGATTGGATGATAGAAGAGAATGAAAGGAGTGCAGGATGAAGTTAAGGATTTTGTGCCTGAGCAGTTTAAAAGAATGGAGCTGCCATTTACTGAATATAAAACCTGGGAAAGGATTAGGGACTTATTTATTTATATTCTGATATTTATATTATATTGTTATTTATATTATTTTTTTGTGGTGCTGGGAATAAAACTCAGAGCCTTGGGCATACTAGGCAAGAATTCTACCCCGACAGAATATTCCACCCAAATAAGGTAAGGGAGAGGGTTTCGAAAGGTGGAGTCTTGCTGTCAGCAGATTGATTGACATCTCAGCAAGTCACACCCATCTCAGGTGCTGTGTGTGATCACCGACAGAGTGAGAGGAAAGGCACTTATGTGTCACTCAGCATGCAACACCAGATGGCTCTTGACAAGTACTACTTCTGTTTTATCTATATCACCTTCTGTGTCTCCTTAAATATTTATTTATTTATTTTTTTGTACTGGGAAATTAACTCAGGGGCACTTGACCACTGAGCCACATCCCCAGCCCTGTTTTGTATTTTATTAGAGACAGCATCTCACTGAGTTGCTTAGCACCTCACTAAATTGCTGAGTTTGGCTTCAACTCACTCTCCTCCTGCCTCCACCTCCCGAGCCACTGGCATTACAGACCTGCATACCTGTGATACTTCCTAATCATCTTATTTAAAATTATAATCCTTCCCCACTGTCAGGATTCCCTGTCCTTTCTTATTTTCTTTTTCTCCATATCACCTTTCTCTATCTTATGGTGTTACATATTTTCATTATTTATTTGTTTATGGTTTACTTTCTCCCATGACATTATAAGTTTCACAAAGATAAGGAATCCTCTCCCTAAATCCCAAGTGAACCTTCTAGCTTCCTACTTTACTGATAAAGAGGAAACCATCAGATAGGCCATAWTTATCTCACCATTTTGTTCCTATTATGCACACTTAAAAGAGTTCTTTGTTTACCTGTCCTTCAGTTTCGTTCTGAGATTTCTTTTGTTTCCTTTCACCAACCTTTTTACATGTACTCTTTCAGCTTCTAAGTCTGAAGCTCTTGCCAAGTCTTTTCTACCCTCCAAGAGGAAAATTTCCTCTGCTGAATGACTTCTTAGTAAGATTTCTTTCTTTTCATTCCGGGCTAATCAAGAGTTGTCTGCTGTTTTCTSTATTTTGATTCACTTCTTTGTATCATCATCATCATCATCATCCTTTGATTTAGCTGAACAATGATAAGGTCAGGAATGGTTTTCTATTTGCCACACCCATTAGATGGATGTATATCAGTCCTTACTATTCTGGATTTCCCTTTGAGTATGATATAAAGAGGGAATTGAACCCAGGGCCTTGTGCATGCAAGKCGAGCACTCTACCAACTGAGTTATATCCTCAGCCCACAAGAGAGAGTCTTTTTTGAAGTGAGACTTTCTTGACACCACATACTTCTGGTCTTTCTTATTTTCTCTGACTGTTTTGCTTGAGTCTTCCTCCTCTCTTTCCTAACTATTGGGTGTTTCCTGGGGTTTTATCTCAACCAAGGACCACTGCCTCCATTCTGCACTGACTTCTTACTTCTATGTTCAGACCCTAAAGCTTTAGATTTAATAAATATATACATGAGTATAACATATACTTTGAATTCAACAAGACCAACTTGAACATCTTAACCAGGCCTACCATTATATTAGCTTAAAAAAATATACAGCTACCTCAACTTTAGAGAGATAACTTACTAAAATTCCCTAGTGGGTAGCTTACTTTTAGTCCCAGTATCCAGATAAAATCAACTTTAACTTTTTGTTCAATTTCCTTATGGAATTTTTCAATGCAAGTGGCCATTTTCTTAGATAATCATAGTATTGTCTTCACACTTAACAAAGTTAGCAACGATTTTATTAACTCATCTAATACCTACTCCATGATTGAATTCCTGATTGTCTTAAAACTCATTTAAGTCTTGAATTTTTCCAAATCTGGTTTGTTTTAGCTTTTTTTTTTCTTTAAGCAGTTACTTATTGATATATCTGAAAAGTTTTCAGTCAGTTAATGCTTCAGTTATCTCTCTGCTTTTCTGATTATTTCAGTGGACAATATGGCAGTAGGACATTTTGTCCAATTAGAAGCATAGATGCAGTCATGACTAAGAAATGGTAGGGAAGCCATAGTGGAAAAAAACCTTCTAGAATTCAAAAAGAGCCAATAGTCAAGGCAGGACTGCCATCTAGTGTGGACAAGACTYTTACACCTGAAACCTGATAGTTAACTAACAGAGTAATGGCAGGACATTGCCATGTCTTACAAGTTAGGCATGTTTTGATAAAACTAAAGGAAAGATTAGTGTCATCAGTGAAAGACCTACTGTTTCTTTTTCTGGGACCTGTACATTTTTATTTTATTACTGCATTTACTTATATGAGAAATACTATTGGGTATGCTATTTTTGTGTTTTTCATTACACAGTGTGTAAATTATTGTGGTTACCTAGTTCACTGTGGTACTAGGCAGAAATTTTTTTAAAAATTTAATAAAGATACAAATAAATTGTTAAACAATGATAAAAAAAAGGAAGGGGGGGAGAAATAGTATTGGTACTTATCATGTCCCAGGCACCACTCTAGTAAAAGTCTGCACTATTCTGTGAAAAGAGTTGAATAATAAGCAAGAGAAAACAAGTAAAATATATGTCCTATCAGGTAGTTTCTTTGTGTATGTAGTGCTAGGGATGGAACTTAGGGCCTTGTGCATGCTAAATGTGTGTTCTACCATTGAGCTATAACTCCAAACTATTCCCTTGGTCTCAGTAGATGGTGAGTTCCTGGAATCAGGAACTATGTCTCCTTAGGTCCAGTAACACTACCATGGAGATTGTAATAGGAGCCAAGCCTATCTTTATTGAGTAAATAAAGAAAAACTTCTGGGGTAACTGCTGGAATCATCTCACTCCCCCATGGGTTGTTAGAACATATCCAGATTTAGGCTTTTGCAGCTGACCAGTGCAGCTTCATGAGCCCCACCCTAGCCTAAATCCATGGATTTGGTAGATTCAGGGCCTCTCTCCTTTAGAGTGTGCAGAGCAGCATTCCATTGTACAGTGTCCCCCAAGGACACTCAAGCTGTCTGTCTTTCAGGGGCATTTTGCCACTCTAGTATCTTTCTGAGAAAATGCTTGGGAATATTTTCTCAATTATGGGAATGCACACTAAAAAATCTTTTTACTAAATCCTCTGCCTCAGCATATTCTGCTTTGTAGACCTTAATGTCTGAATAGCCATCTTATTCAAAATCAGATATCCCTTAAAATCTCTGTTTAGTTTCTTCTCCTGAATGATTAGCGAAAAGTGAAGGATGTTTGAGGATGTTTTTTTTTTCCCCCAACAGGTTCTCTAATTGAACAGCTGACTACAGAAAAATATGAATGCATGGTGTGCTGTGAATTGGTTCGTGTCACAGCCCCAGTGTGGAGTTGTCAGAGCTGTTATCATGTGTTTCATCTGAACTGCATAAAGAAATGGGCAAGGTCTCCAGCATCTCAAGCAGGTCAGTTATTTCTCTTTTCAGAGTAGTTATTCTCATCTCTTTGATATGTTCAGGTTGTAAGTCTAGCTTTAAAATACTGTTTAATTCCTCTTAAATATTTTGTCTACAGGGAAAGTATATTATATTGATCACATTTTAGATGACCAAAGTTAAGCTGTAAATCTTAAGTAAACTAACTAAATGTAACAATATTAAAATATTTAAGGTATAATAAAATTTGTTACTTTTATTGAAAATGGCAGCTTTTATCCAAGTAGCAACTATAGAAAGCTTTTCTTATATAGTTTGCCTTAGAAATTTATGCAGAGCAATGGTTTCATTTATACTCAAGATTTTGAAGTTGTTTTTGCCTTTCACAACCCTTCTTCATAGTATATTGTTGGCTAAGTATACTAATACGATTAGATAATACATATGTTACTAATAATATGGTTTCTGAACTATGGACCTCTAATTCGAGACTCCTGGATTTTCTTGCATATACTCAGTTTATCCTATATTTTTCAAACCAAGATTCAGATTAATGTTGACATTAGAAATAATAGAACAAAACGAATGCCTACTTGATTTGTTATATCTGAAAGTTCTTTCAGTATTGTGAATTTCTTTCTTAAATGTTTGATATGCTTAACATTGAAATTTCTACCAGGATGTCAATATTGTGACTTTGGCAGTTTTTAGTTTGTTTGGTTATTGTGTGTGTGGGTGTGTGTGTGTGTGTGTGTGTGTGTGTGTGTGTGTGTGCGCGCGCGCGCGCGCACACATGTGCACGCGTGCGCGCCCGTGCTACTGGAGAATGAACCCAAGGCCTTGTACTTGCTAGGCAAACCACTGAACTATAGCCCCTGCCCTAGATTTAAATTTTTAAAAATTACTTTTGCCTTTTTTGGGGTGGTAGTGCTGGGATCGAACATAGGACCCCATGCATGCCAAGCAGGTGTTCTGCTCCTGGGCTACACCCCCAGCCCTACTTGTGCTTTTGAAAGAAAATTTCTTTGTCATACTCATTTTTTTTTGACAGATGGCCAGAGTGGTTGGAGGTGCCCCGCCTGTCAGAATGTGTCTGCACATGTTCCTAATACCTATACTTGTTTCTGTGGTAAGTTTGCATACATTACAGAGTCTTTCACTTCAATTATTGTATCTCAGTGTGCTGTCTAGGAGAGGTGATCTGCTGGGCTTGTCTTAGAAGTTACTAGTAAGACTCTGAAGCTGTGAGACTCTATAAGACCTTACTAATGTGGTTCATCTCCCAGCTAGAGTCATGAGCTTTTGTGCTCTCAGCAGGCTGTTCTGGAGATAGGCTTATGATGCCAATCAGGCTAATGTCACTTCAGAATTGTGGTCCAGGTCTCCTTGGTCTTAGCTTAAGACAAGAGCTGACCATCTGGCAGAGGCAGTATCAATATGTGCTCCCGCTSATAACCAACTGTGACAGCTTTAACATTCCAGATTTGAACAGCATGAGTAAAGAGCTAGTATTTTATATTTATTCAAAAATAAGTCCTTTTTCTTCATATAATAATTTTTTTTATAAACCAGCATTACAAACTCATATCTTTATATCTTCCTTCTTTTTGGAATATTCCTATTTTTTAATAGCTCAGTTTTCCTATGTATTAGAAATCCTATGTAATTGTAATCCTGATGCCCATTCCTGCTACTAGCTTATTTCCACCTTATTCCTGACATGTCTTCCCCCCCGCCCCTGATTTTTTTGGGGGTGTGTGTGCTGAGGATTGAATCCAGGACCTTGTGCTATGTGAGGCAAGCATTCTACCAATTGAGCTATATCCCCAGCCCCTTCCTGCTGATTTTTAATGACTAACCTCTCCATATAGTCAATTTTTCAGATTTTGTTTCTTAACTATTTTATCTCCCTCCTTGAACCATGCATTTTTCCTCTTATCTCTGTTGTCTTGCTGGAACTATATTCAAAAGTCATCAGTTGACCCCCTTTGGGCAATATCAATGGCTGATTTATAAATTCTTAATCTTTTGGACAGTACACACCCTTGACATGTTTACCATATGACCAGCTCTTCTGTTTGTTTCTGCATGCTTTCATTTTTCTAACCAATTTACTCATATCACTCCTTTCCCATTACTTAATTAAAAGCTTTCACCAAGAGTCAATCATTGACCATTAACCATCTTCTCAATTCCTTGGTGAACTCACTGACAATCAAGAATGTTCTTCCTCCTCTTTAAATTCTCATCCACTGCCAGGCATGCTGGCACACATCTATAACTAAGCAGCTCAGGAGGCTGAGACAGGAGGATCGCAAGTTCAAAGCCAGCCTCAGCAACTTAGTGAGGCTCTAAGTTAGCGAGACCTTGTCTCAAAATTTTTAAAAAGGGCTAGGGATGTGGCTCAGTGTTTAAGTGCCCCTGGGTTTAATCCCTAGAACTAAAAATAGTTTTAAAATAAAAAATAAATTCTCATCCACTTGCTAATCAGAAAGGAAAAGGTAAAAAATTAAAAGATAAGCAGGAATGAACAGCAATAGGAAAGGGAAGAACATAAAGTTTCATGCTTTTAGAAATGGTGATGTCAGGGAAAGGGGTGGRTCAAGAGAATCAGTAGGGACAATGAATTCAGGTTAGAAATACTGAGTTGGGTGAATGTGCAGAATATCTAGTAAAGAATATCTAATAGGTAGGTAGAAATATGTTCAAAAAAAGATATAAAGACTTAGGATGAAAGTTGCAATTGAGAGGARTAGGTAAGACCCTACTGGAAAAAAAGGATAAGGAATAAGGAAAGAGTATAATACAGAATCCTGGCAGGGAAAAGACAACTATCACTGTGACTCAGGCAGAAGTGGTGGAGGCATCAAAAGATGTTAGGGCCAAACTGGGGCACTATATTGGAACAAGAAAACACAGAGGCTGYAGCTTTCCTGAGGTTTTAGCAGATAGTGAGACAAGAACAGGAGTAGGAGGAGAGATAGGAGAGAGTCACTGAGGAAGAATTGACAAGACTTGGTGACTAAGTACAATGTAGAAAGAAAAAGAGGAAWTAATAATGACTAGTTTTTGAGTGTTACTCTGACATTGATGCTGTCATTGATCGAAATAAGGAACACTGAAGAGGGAGAGCCTTTTTTTTAATTGTTTTTTTTTTTTAGTTATATATAACAATAGAATCTATTTTGACATAATTATAAAAGCATAGAATATAATCTTGCTCTAATTCAGACTCCATTACCTCTCCTTTCCCTTCCTGAGGGAGAGGCTTTAGAAAGAAGATCTGAACTCTGGCTGTAGATAAGTCAGTTATATGTGACTGAAATCCCAAGCAGAGGTGTTCAGCAGGTGGCTAGACATGTGAGTCTGAAATTGAAGATTTAAGGCAAGGCAGAAAATGTAGATTTGTGAATCACTTGGACTTTGGATTATTGAATCTCTCAATGTGAATAAAATTTCTAAGAAAGACCATATATAGAGAAAAGGTGAGAGCATGGAGTGGAGCTGCTGCCATTTCATGTCTAAATTACTCAAGTGAGGATGAATTCTTCAAGGACAAAGAGGAGTCATGTAACTTGGATTTTGTTCTTCCCTGCCTCTGTTAAGTCTGAAGAAGATGCTCAGTAAAGATTTGATTATAAAATTATAATCCTTTTTATGCCTATTTTATAGCTTTAGAATAGGTGAGAATTTATGTCCTTTCCATCTTATGGCCTCATCCCCTTTTCCCCAATTCTCTTTCCTTATTTCTTTTATTTTCTATCTATTTATTTTTGTGGCACTGGGTATTGAGCCCAGGGCCTTATGCATGCTAGGCAGGTGCTATACCACTGAGTTACATAACCAGCCCACTAGCCCTCTTTTCCTGTTTCTTTCTAATCCTTACCATAGATTTTCCAGGAGCCCATTTACAGGATGTTTATCTAGTAGATATTTATCTGAGATTAAATGTGCTCATTAATCAAATGAAAATAGCACTTTCATAAGTAAAAATGACTTTATTTCTGCCAGGCGCAGTGGCGCACACCTGCAATCACAACAACCCAGGAGGCTGAGGCAGGAGGATCACAAGTTCAAAGTCAGTATCAGCAGCTTAGTGAGACCATGTCTCAAAATAAAACATACAAAATGACTGGGGATGTTGCTCAGTGGTTAAGCACCCCTGAGTTCAATCCCTGGTACCAAAAAAAACCTTTTTCTCTTTCCTATGTAAGCTGGAATTTAAGACTCAGTGGAGCTTTTGATGAATAACATTACATTTCTTTTTATTGTAGGATGTGAAATAATGAATTTGTTGAACTAATGAAAACCACACTTGAAGTTTCATGCTGTCTAGCTATTCTGTACTATTTCATTAAAGTTGAGAATATGGTTGAAATCTGTAGCATTAACTCTCTGATCTGATATATTTTAGGCAAAGTAAAGAATCCTGAATGGAGCAGAAATGAAATTCCACATAGTTGTGGTGAGGTTTGTAGAAAGAAACAGCCTGGCCAGGACTGCCCACATTCCTGTAACCTGTAAGTTGGAATACTAGACTTCTGGAGATTCCTGGTGTACGTGCCTTGCTATTAGATATAAAGTACACATACCTGGTTAATACGTAATAGATCAGGGGAAGGGTGATATGGTACCATTTACTTAGCACTTACTGTGCACTGGGCATTCTACATAAGGTAATTTGTTCAATTTTTAACATAGCTCAGTGATGTGTAGATATGTGTCATCTCCACTTTACAGATGAGGTTTAGAAAGGCCAAGCCTCTTGCCCAACATCGCAATGTTARGACATGGTAGAACTATAATTTTCAAAGCCAATGCTCCTTCCACAGCATTGCACCATTTCTAAAAAGACATGAGAATCAGATATTTTATCTCCTAGCAATATATGAATACTTTCTATACAATAAATAGCCAGGGTTAAGATGTACCAAATCAGCCTCTTAAAAAAAAAAAAATGGTCATAGAGAAAGAATTGATCAGTTTCAAATAAATTTCTGTGGACTGCTTTGACCCCAGACAAAGATTTAAATCTGCGTTTGAATCAGATATTTACATGACCTCAGACAAAATTATTTCTCTAAGCCTGGATTTCTGCATTTGTAAAATAATAATGATTTGAATAATAGTACTTAACTCAGAGGGTTCTGTGGAAAAAAATAAATAAATAAATGAGCCGGGTGGTAGAGTGCACACCTGTAATCCCAGAGGCTCAGGAGACTGAGGCAGGAGGGTTGCAAGTTCAAAGCCAGCCTCAGCAAAAGTTAAGCACTAAGCAACTCAGTGAGATCCTGTCTCTAAATAAAATACAAAATAGGGCTGGGGATGTAGATTGGTGGTTGAGTGCCCCTGAGTTTAATACCCCGCCCCCAAAAAAGTGATGCAGATCAGATAGTCAACACCATGTCTGAAAGGAAGGATGATCTAAAACACATTGTTTTGTAGCTTTGCAAATTCCACACTTGATTTGGAAATTGTCTTTTTATTACAGTCAGGATCTCAAATATTGATGAAACCCATTCCCCAACAGCACTTTCTTGATCTCAAAGAAAGTTTGAAGTTTCTCTTTTTTATCCTTATCAAGACTTCAAAGCCACAACTGACCCCTTTCTCTATTTGGGATTGCATAGGTCGTAAAATTCCCTCAAACAATTATTCTCAACCCTGGCTACATATTAAAATTACTTAGGGAACATTTAAAAACACAATTAACTGAGTCTCTATCTTCCAGCAATCGAATCAGAACCTATAAGGTTGGGTCCTGAACCTCTGTAGTTTTAAAAGCTCTCCAAGTAATTCCARTATATAGTTTGTACTGTAAACCCTGCTGTAAAGGTTAAGAAACTTAGTTCAGCTTTTGGCAATATTTGAAATTACCACACCTGACCTGTGGTTTGTCTCATTAAAAGTTGATTAAATTCTTTTGCCTGACAGGGTTGTGACATATCATGTGAAATATTACTTTTGAATAAATTATACTCTTCTTTAAAGACATGCTTAAACTAAAGTTTCCTGTGGGTGCTATCAAAGTGGTCACTTTTGAAAACTAGGTGCTTATTCTTGGATTGTTACCAGTGTTTAAACCTTATTTAAGAGGTACCAGAAAGACTGGAGATGTAGCTCAGTGGTAGAGTGCTTGCCTAACATTTGCAATGCCCTGGGTTCAATCTATAGCACCAAAAAAAAAACAAACCAGAACTGGTGAGTCATGTATAAAACCAAAAATTCCAGCCAGACTACTTTGTAGGCACATCTGGTTTGTTTTGCACAAAATTCTGTTACCCATGCAATTAATTAGACTGGCCTCAGATTGGCTTTTAATTCTCAAAGGATTATACTTTAGCATCACTTAGAATGCCCTATTTCACCAAAAATGTTATAGAAGTTCCCCAAATGTTGTAAGTAGTGGTATTTCTGAACCATTGTATAATTTACCAGGATATTGCTTTGAAAAAGGCAATATTTATTTGAATGTACAAATTCCATTTTGCAATTTTTTCTGTTGGCGTCTATAATGTAGTTCCTATAAAAAGCATTCTATTCAGAGTTCTAATTCTGACCTGTAGTATATCACTAAGCTCAATCTTTTCCATGACCCCTGGTCCCTTCCTTCTCTCCCTTTTTTGTTTACCAGGGTCCACCCCCTTATAGCAATCTTTTTTTTCATTCTTCCCATTGTTTGCCCACTGCCTAGTGATCATTTCAGTAGTTGATGAGAAAATGTCTATGCTTGTCATGGACCTAGTGGAGCTGAGCTCTGTCACTTTGCTCAGATTGTCATTCTACCTGGCACCTGAAAGGCACATTGTGTGTTTGTGTGTGTACATACGTGTGTGTGTGTGTGTGTGTGTGTGTGTGTAGTAGTAGTAGTAGTAGTACTGGGTATTGAATTCAGAAGCTTGTGCATGTTGGTCAAGTATTCTACTACTGAGGTATTTTTATCCCTACCCACTGCTGTAAATGGGCCAAGGCCATATTTGAAAATATCATCTTTGACTATCAGACCCAAATAAAACTAGTATTTTGACTTGGGCTTTACTTTTCCAGTTAAATGTTCTAAAACGATAATGCAGTTAATATTATTTTCTACATAAAAGTATGGTTGGTTATCTTTAGGGAAATAACAGACATAGTAGTAGGTTTATTTTTTGCCATGTTCACAATAGGACCCAGTTATATTGCTTTGTTTTGGTTTGGGCACAAAGTATGGTTTGTTCATCGAAGCCTTTGTTTTTCAGTCTCTGTCATCCTGGTCCCTGCCCACCCTGTCCTGCTTTTATGACTAAAACGTGCGAATGTGGACGTACCAGGTAAAGTTAGAATAGCACTGTTTCCACATCTGTGATTTACTTGTGAATTTCTAAAATAAAAGTTAGTAAATATAATTRAATGGTAAGTGTAAAGAAAAAAATCATCTCTTGGTATCCATGGACGATTGATTCTAGGACCCCCGAGGGTAAAAATCCACAAATGCTTAAGTCATTTTTATAAAGTGATGTGGTATTTGCATATAACTTATATACAACCTCCCATGTACTTTAACTCATCTCTGTATTATATTGCCTAAGACAATATAAATGCTGTAGAAATAGTTGGTACACTATATAGTTTAAGAAATAATTACAAGAAAAAAGACCATACATGTTCAGTATAGACACAATTTTTTTTAATATTTTTTATTTGCTCTTGGTTGAATCTGTGGATATAGAACTCACAAAGGGAGAACAGTAGTACTTTTTTATAAATAGTAATTTCCTGTGATGCTCCTGATCCTGCTTTGAAATCTTATATAAGTAATTAAGAAATTGTATCCACAGTGAGATTGTAAGATTACCTATTCAGGTGAAATGCCAATGGGACAGGGATTTTTATTAACCTTTCTAATGGGTGACAGAACCAGGAATTGAACCCAGGCCTGCTAAGATCAAGGACCATTATTCAGGATTATTGCAAGGATCATTGATAGCTGTGGAGTATCTCTGAGGCCCAGGAAGATGTTAAAATGATTTCTGAACCTTGAAACAAGATGGGATCATTGCAGATTTCAGTGATTTGCATTTGTAGTAGTGTGGCCTAAAAGACATGAGAGAGTTCTGAGTCAGAAGATCAAATCTGGGCTTTACTACTTACTGGCTATTGATTCTGAGAAAGTTGTTTGATCTCACTGAGACTCACTTTTCTCATTATAAAGTAGAAATAAGGGACTCGGGTTGTGGCTCAGTGGTAGAGCGCTCACCTAGCACATGTGAGGTGCTTGGTTCAATCCTCAACACCACATAAAAATAAAAAAATAAAGGTATTGTGTCCAACTACAACATATATATATATATATATATTAGAAATAATAAATAGTTGAAGGATTGAAGTTAACCATGGTGCTAGGCATATGGTAGCATAATAGGCCAGTGGTAGCCATTATACTGAGCACTGCACTTTGATCATTTATGTACATGACAATGACTTTTGTTTTCTTTTTTGGTTTATGTTGTGTTTTATTTAAGTGTAATCAAAATAAATGCATGGAACATGCGCATACACACCCACACATTCAATTTGAATTCAATAATGACTTTTTAAACAAAATATATATATTTGAAATGGGAGGGGTAAAATTAAACTCTTCTTGCAGGAGAATAGACTAAACTATCACCTGGAAAGACACCTGAAGACAATATCTAAAAGCCATTAAGTCTTGCACATGCTAGGCAAGGRCTCTACTAAGCTACATCCCCAATCTGGGTGTTAATTAAAACAAAGTTAGAATTGGCTTATCCACCCTAAATCAAAATCTTTTCTATCATGTTTATATTTATATAAATATTATATCAGAATGAAATTCCAGGGTGCTGGGCCCCATGAAAATGCCATTGTGCTTTAATTCTCAATACATCACAGATATCTGAGTACATTAGTATTTTGTTTTCTTTGTACCCTATCTGTACAGTATTAGGGGAGCCCCAAACAGAGCTAGGATTAGAATTTTAATCTTCTTCCCTCTCATCCTAGAGCTCTTTCTACTCCTGCATGCTCCGTCATGGAACTCAGATAAAATTACATAGAATGAGTTCTTAGGAATAACCTTTAATTCCTCACTGATTAGAAAATAGATGAGAGAGAAAAGAAGCCTGGATAATAAGAAAGAAAAAGTGAAGAAGAAGAAGGTAATAAAAGAAATAAGAACTGGAGGAAGGAGATATATAGAAAAGCCAAACACAGTGACACATATTTGTAATTCCATCCCAGCTACTCAAGAGGCTAAAGCAATATTAAAGGAATATTACAAGTTTGAGACCAGCCTAGGCACTTAATGAGACTTGTCTCAGAATAAATTAAAAGGGCTGATGTTGTAGCTCAGTGGTAGAGCACTTGCCTAGCTTGTGCAAGGTCCTGGGTCAGTCCCTAGTACTACAAAAAAGAAATGAAAAAAGGGGGGAGGGAGGGAGGAAGGGAGAAAAAAGAACTGGGGCGACAGGGTCAATAAACAGGTTTAGTAGGTTTTGGGGGAGAGGTTTGGGTTTCAGTGTTAGTTTAACTGTATAGCAGGAACCTTTAGACTGATGTTGTCTTTGTTATCTACTACTGTCTTTCCAGGCACACAGTTCGCTGTGGTCAGGCTGTCTCAGTCCACTGTTCTAACCCATGTGAGAATATTTTGAATTGTGGGCAGCACCATTGTGCTGAGCTGTGCCATGGGGGTCAATGCCAGCCTTGCCGGATCATATTGAACCAGGGTAAGTGGTATGCACATCAGCTAGCAAAGCTTGTGATTTTTTTTCTGGAATTATATGGCATGTGAATTATATTGCAGTAAAACTGTGTTATAAAAAAACAATGTGCAAGGAGGGTCAAGGGGAAGCAGAGAAAAACCGAATCCATAATGAAGTTATCTATTTGCACTTTCAAGAATGTTTAAAATAAAAGACTAGTGATCAAATGTTGGCAAGTGTAGGTAACTAGAGTTTTCATGTATTGCTGGCAGATGTATAAAATGAGAAAACCACTTTGGACAATTTCTTATAAAATTAAACCTGTAACCAGCCATCCCTTTTTGCTGTTTTCATAACTAAGTCACAAAAAGACTTGTATGGGATTATGGGAGTTGGGGGACAAGGGGGTGTTGTTTTTTGCAGTACTAGGGATTGAATCCAGGGTCTTCCCCATGCTAGGCTCCCTCCCCCCTTCTTTCATTTCTTTTTTGTACTACTAAKCTACATCCCCAGCTGCATAATATGTTTTTAATAAGAACCCCAAACTAAAAACAACAGCCAAATGTCCATTTATGGAAGAAGGAATGGATAAATTATGGTATTTTCTTTTTTTTTTTTTTTTTTTTTTTTTTGTTGTTGTTGTTGTTGTTTTTTTTTTTTTTTTTTTTTTTTCTAGCCTTGAACTCTCAGGCTCANTCCATTTATGGAAGAAGGAATGGATAAATTATGGTTTTTTTTTTTTTTTTTTTTTTTTTTTTTTTTTGTTGTTGTTGTTGTTGTTGTTGTTGTTGCTGCTGCCTAGGCTAGCCTTGAACTCTCAGGCTCAAGCAACCCTACCTCAGCTTCCCCAGTAGCTAGGACTACTGATGCAAACCATAGTGCCCAGCTAAGGCCTTTTTAGTCTTGAGGCAGTTTGGGCTTTTACTCAGGTCTTTTTTTGTACAAATTTGTATCCTAGTTGAAGTCTTAAACCCAGTTGAAGACTTTTTGTCTGCATTAAATAAGGAAATATTTTGGTCACACGTAAAGCTTATCTTCTGTAGTGCTAATTCTTTTCAGATACCCTTCATTCAGCCTTATTTAGAGATGTGTTAAGCATTCCTTCTGGATGTTCATTCATGTGTTTTGAAAATGCTGAACAGATTACAACTGGCAACAGAGTTCTTCCTCAGGACTGTTTTTGGCTCCCTAACACAACTGGTGACAACTTGTGCCCAAGTATAACAAAGCTTTTTAGTATTTTACTCAGGTTATTTTCTGATTGTCTAGGAGGAGCTCCATTTTATTTTTATTGTCAGTTTTCTGACCCTTAACTTTTTTTAAGAGAGAGAGAGAGAATTTTAATATTTATTTTTTAGTTTTCGGCGGACACAACATCTTTGTTTTGTATGTGGTGCTGAGGATCGAACCCTGGCCGCACGCATGCCAGGCGAGCGCCCTACTGCTTGAGCCACGTGCCCAGCCCCTGAATCTTAAACTCTTTATTTACAGTTGTTTGTTCATTACCTCTGAAAAAAGCTTCTGTTCCGTTGGAGCCTAAACTTAGCAAAGGAAACACTGCTCTCAGATACTCCTATTTGCCTAGGGTTTATTTACTAATTCATTGATTCCACAAATATTGTTTCCTACATCTATATTAAATTTTKGGGGGGTGAATGAATGAATTTTAGAATGGGATTAAGTTGCACATTACTTAATTCAAGATGAAATGTATATTTTATCTAGATTATGTCTTCAGTGGCTTTCCTTTTCCCAGGTCTCAGTAGAAGTTTTTAGTTTTGTTTAGTATACAATTTTATTTTAGAAATGTTATTTCTAATGTTTTATTAGAAGCATTCTATTTTATTTCTTATTTCATATATATCAAAAATAAAGGACTGGGTATGTAGCTCAGTGGTAGAGTATACCTGGATTCAATTCATGGTACCATTGGGAGACAAAAGACTTGATGTTTTTATAATGTTACATTTATTCTGATAGATTTTGTGTACAGTTGGTATCTAAATTACCGTTGGAAGAAGGAAAATATCATTAGATCTGCAGAATTTCAGTTTAGTTTCTACTATTCTGATCACCATTTATTATGAAGGATATACTTGCATAGGTTAATTTATAAGATAAATTTTCACTATAAAATAAAAGCATAAAGGGGCAGGAAAATTATGTATGTAAATTGGTMCATATTTATGTATCAGAAACATTTCTGCAAAGAGTATCAAATAGCTCAGTAATAGAACACTGGCCTAGCATATGTGAAAGACCCTAGGTTGGATCCCTAAAAAGTCTTGAATTCTTTGAAATTTTTCACTCAGTGTATTCAAATTTAACAGAGAAATATATGGATTATTAAGGATCTAATACTATCATGATAATTTTTTCTTTTTTTTTCTTTTTTATTTTATTTTTTTAAAGAGAGAGAGAGAGAGGAGAGAAAGAATTTTAATATTTATTTATTTTTTTTTAGTTTTCGGCGGACACAACATCTTTGTTGGTATGTGGTGCTGAGGATCGAACCCAGGCCGCACACATGCCAGGCGAGCGCGCTACCGCTTGAGCCACATCCCCAGCCCCATGATAATTTTTTCTTAAAAAAAAATTGAAGTATCAGGGACCTTTTTTTTCAAGCATTTTATGTAAAACCCAGAATATAAAGTATCATATCTATACTATTTGTGTTGAGATGAGGAAGAGTATCAACCCCTTTACCACTACTATTAGCTAAGCTCATCTATCTCCTATGACAGTACCCCATGGAGCTTCACAGTCTGGCTTTAGGGGCCAGATAATCTTTAAATTTGAGAGTTGCTTCACTCTGATGATGTTATTAGGGTGTGCTACAGAGGCACTATGAGACTGACAGAGCCTAACGAAGCCTTTTTTAAACTTATTCCTGTATAAAGCTATTAGGTGGGACTTTGAGCTCCTGTACAAAGCACATTAATTTCTGTATCAGGCCTGATCAGCACTTATGAAAAGTGTTTTTTTGTTTTCTTGTAGATTATTTGAAATATTTTAAGAGCATCTATAGGTTATTAATCTGTTGTTTTTGAAATTGTGTCCTCAAGTATGCTACTGTGGCAGCACCTCCAGAGATGTGTTATGTGGAACAGACATAGGAAAGTCTGATGGATTTGGGGACTTTGGCTGTTTAAAGATATGTGGCAAGTAAGGTTTTACATTTTCTTCTATTAGAATAAAACTGAATTTTATGCAACAATTATGTGATAATCTGTTCTTTTTCTTAACAGGGACTTGAAATGTGGGAGCCATACGTGTTCTCAAGTGTGCCATCCTCAACCCTGCCAGCCTTGCCCACGGCTCCCCCATCTGGTGCGCTGTTGCCCTTGTGGCCAAACCCCTCTCAGCCAATTGCTAGAACTCGGAAGTAGCGGACGGAAAACGTGCATGGACCCTGTTCCTTCATGTGGAAAAGTGTGTGGCAAGCCTCTGCCTTGTGGTTCCTCAGGTAACTAATTTATATAAAGTTGGCTTTAAAAATATTTGTGTCATCTGGGTACAGTCAAATACAACTCTGATCCCAGCAACTTGGAAGACTGAGGCAGGAGGATCAAGAGTTTGAAGCGAGCCTGGGAAATTCAGCAAAACCCTGTCACAAAAAATAAAAAGTATTGAGCATATAGCTCACTGGTAGAGTGCCCCTGGGTTCAGTCTCCAGTACCAAAAATAAAACATTTTTATTATGTGGCAGCAATGACATTTTAGCAAAGTAGTATTTAAAACCAGTTATCAGTGTTCTTTTAAATATTATTTTCAAATTTGTATAGGTACTCTGTCTTTACACTTACATTTGTCCAAGTGATCTCTCCAATTCAGGTATTTTTATTATCAATTCTGGACAACTGATGAGATACTGATATGTACAATAAAATTTCAGCCTCTTAGACCATTCATAGAATGTTACTTTCTATAATAGTTACCCATGTAACTAAGGGTAAATTAAAATTATAACAATGTAATGTTCAGTTTGTAATATATATAGATACATATAACAATAGCATAAAAAGGGAGAAGAAGAATGAAGCTTTTTAGGAGTAGAGCATCTGTATCTCACTGGAATTAAATCCAAAATAGATTCTGATGAGGTGATTATGATAAGATTTAGAGCAACCATTAAGAAAATAGCTCAAGCCAGGCAGAGTGGTGCACACCTGTATCTCAGCAACTCAAGAGGCTGAGGGAAGAGGGTTGCAAGATTGAGGCCAGCTTCAGCAACTTAGCAAGACCCTGTCTCAAAATAAAAAAATAATATATTGGACAAATTAGTCCTAATTTTATTATCTCTAATTTCTATATATTAAAGAGGTCACTAGTGTAAAAAGTAAATAAATAAAAAGAGCTGGCAATATAGCTCAGTGGTAAAGTGCCAATGGGCTTTAACACACACACACACACACACACACACACACACTGGCTGCCCAAAAAAATATGCAGTGAGGCTGACCGTTAAAGGATGGAGATAGTACATTATGTAAACAGTAACCATAAGAAAGAGACTAAGTGGATATAATTTAGTGGTAGAACATTTGCTTAACATGCCTAAGGCCCTAGGTTCAACCCTTAGTACCAATAAAAAAAGAAAAGAAAGAAATAAGGTTGGAGGGTACAGCTCATAGTTAGAGTACTTGCTTAGCATATTTGAGGCCCTGAGTTTAATCCCCAGCACTACAAAAAAAAAGAGACTCTGGGTGATCTCCAAGAGGTCCTTGAAAGAAGATTTGTTCAAAATCTTGTTTAGTTCAGTTAATGCAGGCCACTCATTGCCAGATGTTCACAGTATTTGAATCAGTGAGATTATGGATTATGGCTTCTGAGTTATCTCTGATTCATTCCCCAGATAACTTCTAGAGTGTTTCATTCATCCATGGCTACACTTTCAAGGGGATCTGAGTCTAATCTGCAGACTTGGGGTTTAAGGGCTTAACAAGAGTCAGAACTTTTTTCCTTTCATGAAGTACTAGGGATGGAACCTAGGGGTGCTATACCACTTAACTAGATCACCAAGCCTTTTTATGTTTTTTAAGTTTATTTTCTTTTCCCAGCCCTTTCTATTTTGATTTTGAGACAGTGTCTCACTAAATTGTTGAGACTGTTGAGACTAGCCCCCAACTTGTGGTCCTCCTGCCTCAACCTCTGAGTGCTTGAGATTACAGGTGAGGACCCCCAAGCCCAGCTGAAAAATCTATTTGCTAGTGTGGTGGCGCACACCTGTAATCCCAGCGGCTCAGGAGACAAGCTGGAGGATCACGAGTTCAAAGCCAGTCTCAGAGTGAGGCCCTAAGCAACTCAGCAAGACCCTGTTTCTTTTTTTTTTTTTTTTTT